GAGATCTCTTTTTTTTTAAAGTTAAGGCACTTTTAGAACTGCCTTTACTGTATCCCAGAGGTTCTGAAATAATGTTTTCATTTTCATTAGATTCTAAGAATTTTTGGATTTCCCCCCTTATTTCTTTAATGAACAACATTGTGTTGTTCGGTGTAAATGTGTTTAAATATTTTCTGTAAGTGTTTTTTTTTTTTGGCTATTGAGTTCTAATTTTATTCTGTTTTGGTCTAATAGGATACAGGGAGTTGTTTCAATTTTTTTTAAATTGGCTGAGACTTGCTTTGTGTATTAAGGTCTATTTTGGAGAAAGTTCCATGGGCTGCTGAAAAGAATGTGCAGCTTGTGTATGAAATACTCTGTAGATGTCTGTTTAGTCCATTTGGTCTACATTTAATTCGGAAGTTTCTTTGTTCATTTTTTGTCTAGATGACCTATCTATTGGTGATAGTGTAGTACTGAAGTCTCACATTATCATTGTATAGAAGTCTATCCATGATTTTCAGTTCAGTAGTGTTTGTTTTATGAAGTTGGGTGCACTGATTTGACACATATGTTTAACAATTGTTATTTCCTCTTAATAGATTCTTCCCTTTATTAATATGAAGTGACCTTCTTGGACTACTTTATCAGATATGAGTATAGCTATTCATGCCTGCTTTTGGGATCCATTTGCTGTACCTTATTAACATGTACTATTTTATACTTTTATGTATCCATTAATAAATAAATTAATAAATTTTAAAATATTTATTCTTACAGTATTATGAAGGATGAAGAAGACATATGTGTTGCTATAAGCCCTCAGGAGTATAACTTGCCTCTGTGACATTGGTACTGGTACTCACATACTCGAAATGTAGCGTTGGTGATAACCACATAACTCTGAGAAAGTAGTCCTGTGTATACATAAAACTGCAAAGGGAGTGGTTGTTACAGTTTATACAATTCTGTAACCACATAACTCTTCAATGTGCATCATGGCAGTCACATGAATCTTCCACACTGGTTGTGATTTTAGCATAAATCATTCCCAAACTCTGTGATGTTGATTCTGGTCACCCTGTGATGCTGGTTGTATTCTTTTAGCTCTGTTACACCTTATGTAGTGATCGTGTAACTATGACACTGATCTGTGGCTTAGATGTACCTTGTGCCTCCTGGGTTCATGTGGTGGAAACTTGGTCTCTAGTATAAGGATGTTGAGGAACTTTCAGAAATGGAGCCTTTTGAGGGGTCATCAAGACATTTGGGGGATCAAGAGATTAAAGTAGTTCTCACAAGAGGATTCTTATAAAAGAGCAAGACTGGCCCCTCTCCAGCCTCTCTCTAGCTTCCTGTGTCATCATGTGCTCTCTCCCTCACATGCTCCCATGGGGATGCTGTCCGCCATGTGTCAACCCAACCAAGAAGCTCTCACCAGAGACTGAATCAATAGGGCCACCCACTCTTGGACTTTCATCCTCTGAAACTGTGAGCTAAATAAATTTCTAGTTTTAAAAAATGATCCAGCCTCAGGAATTTCATTACAGTAACAAGAAATGGACTAAAACAGTTGGTCATGATGTAATTCACACGAACCTGCCATCGTGGTGGGGGTAGTCATTTCACGACGCTGCAGGGTTAGGTGCAGAATTTTGACAATACCGTGGCAGTTGCACATATAACTTCACTGTGTTGGTACTGTGTGCACATAATAATGTGCTGGTGATCGTGGTCACACCGTTCTGTGAGGGCTCCAGTGCAGACAGACCTCTGTCCTCTTATGTAACAGTGATATTGTCCTGGCGTCCACATGTTTCTGCGGCATTGTTGACAGTATTCAGAGCACCCTGTGATGGATGGGTATAGGGGACATGCTGCAACCCCAGCATCTGGAGGTAGAGGCAGGGGGATGGTGAGTCTAAGGTCAACCTGGGCTAATAGTGAGACCCCGTCTCAAAAGACAAAACAAACAACTCTCCCAAACAACAACAACAGCAACAAAAACCAAACAGATGCCCTGTGACACTGTTGGAGGAATTGACATAGTATCGTCATGGTGGTGGTGGTGTTCACATAATTCAGTGACACTGTCCAGTGGTCACATTGCTATGACCTTGGAGACAAAAGGTCTCTGTTGACCTTTGTATCTGTAGACTCCACGATGGTGCATTCATGTAACTCTATGGTGTGGGTGGTGCTCACATAACTGTGACGTTGGCTATGTGTACAGGACACCACACTTCTGCAAAGTTTGCCATGGTGTTCACATAACTTGGCAGCACCTGTATGGGACTGACATCACTGTACTGGTGGCACTGTTCACCTAGCATGGCAACAGTGCTATGCACACCTGTGTGATGTTGTGGTGGATGATACTCACATGGCTTTGCTGGAGATACTCACGCAACTTAGTGATACTGATTGTGACACGTCACACTGTGAAATTGGTCGTGTATGTGATATTTGTATATTTCTGTGGTATTTGTGGTAATGTTCACATAACACTGTGATATCGTACACGATATCTACCAAAGAATTATCTCTGATGGTGATTATGTTCCTTTAACTACAACAGTGACATCTGTATTTATGTAAATCTGTGACATTGGCAGTGCAACACTGCGGGCAGTAGGCACATAACTTTGTGACATTATTCGTGGTATTCACAGAACTGTGAAGCTGATGGAGGAGGTATTCACGTCCTCTGAGATTTTGGTCATGGTATTCGCCTGTCTCTGAGATGGTGCTGTTTGTGGTATACACACAACTCTGCATCTATGATGGTTGCATTAATGCAACTCTAGTGTTATTCTCACTCTGTGAGAGCATTCATGGTTGACTTAGCACTGTGAGAGTGGTGGATGTGACACTTAAATAGCTATATTTAATAGTAATGGCAGTCATATGTTCACATGACCCTGAAACACTGGTGGAGGTTAATTCACATATTCTGTGGCTTTTGTTGTGGTGTTCACATAATCCTCTGTGTTTTTCATCGTATTGACATCCTTGTGGAACATTTGTGGTGCTACTCATGTATCTGCTGATGATGGTGATGGTGTTATTCATGAAACTCTGCCTTGGTTATGGTATTTCTGTAACTCTGTTATGGGTGACAGTGGATTTGTCACTAACGTGACACTGCAGGTGATGGTGGTGGTGTTCATGTAGGTCTGCGACAGGTCAGAATATTCACATAACTTAGATGTACTGGTTGTTGTGGTTCTTACAGAGCTCTGCAACCAACAGTGCTGGTGATATTTGCATACCTCTGTGGCTGTAGTCACGGTATTAACGTATGTGTACATGGCACTCACACAACTCTGTGGTGGGCTGTGCTGTTCACATAAGTCTGTGACATTGGTCATGAGTTTCACATAGCTCTGCAATGTGGGTGTGCTATTTGCATAATTCTGTGACTTTGATGCTGGTGTTTATTATGACACTGGCCCTGTTATTTGCAGAAACTAGTGGTGTTACGTGTTGTAATCACACTCTGCGTGACGTATCTCTGTGGCATTGGCCATGGAAGTCACATGCCTGGGGTGGTGGTGGTGGTATTCAAATAACTGTGATATTGTGGTGGTGCAATGGTGGGAGGAGTAGTCACACTTTAGGGCTGTAGAGAATTAGACTCAGAGAAGTGTGACTTTAAAGTCATATAACAAGAGATGGCAGAGCCAGGCTCAAGTTCAGGTTTTTTAATAACTCAAATATAGACTGTTTTATAACATACTGTGAGGTTGGCTTGCTAAGTCTAAACTGAAAGGCATTTGTGTAAGCCATCTGTACTTTCAAACTCCCCAAGGGCTTAAGAACATAAATGCTGTATCTAGTATTTAGTTAGGCCCATATATCTACATATGCATTTTCATGTATGGAACTGATCAAAATTTAGCTGTACGTTGAAATATATAAATTTGAACTCAAAATAATTTATGGCAAATAATGGAGAAGAGGACTTTCTGGTAAACCAAAGTAACCCATAATTTATTCATATACTCAAAATATGTTTATTAGACAATGGAGTTTAACATTCATGAGACCATTGGTCATGCATTTTTTTCATTCCTTCTTTAACATTTTATGAAGCTTTGGAGGTCTTGTACAAAGCTAGATATTGGTGGTGGTGCAACGGTGGGGGGAATAGTCATAATATTGGGTGCCTGTGGCTCACACTTGTAACCCTAGCTTCTTGGAAGGCTGAGATTGGGAGGACTGAAGTTTCAGGACAGCCCAGGCAAAAGAAAATTGTGAGACCCCATCTCAGTGGAGAAAAATGTTGGGTGTGTTGACATGCACCTGTCGTCCTGAAGATTGTGGAAAGTTTAAAATAGAGGATCACAGTATAGGCCAGCTAGTCTGTGACAAAACCTAAGAACCTATCTGAAAAATAACCAGGGAATTAAGGGCTGTTGGGCATGGCTCGAGTGGTAGAACACCTGAGTAGCAAGCACAGGCTCTGAGTTACAGAGCTTTGTACCACAAAAAAAAAAAAAAAAAAAAAAAAGCTTAGAATTATGATATTGGGACCAGGGTGGTAGTTTCATTGCAAATATGTGGTTAAATAACATTTAGTTAAGCATTTAAGATTTTACAGTGCATAAATTATACTTCAACAAAAGCTTTGAAAAAGGTACATCAAAAAAAATGACAATACTAGTATGTTTTAGAAAATTCAAGTGTAAACTGGTTGTGATGGTGCATACCTGTAATCCCAGCACTTGGGAGCTGAGGCAGGAGGATCAAGAGTTCAAGGCCAGCCTGGGTTACATAGCAAGACCTCTCTCAAAAAGAGGTCAACTGTAGTGCCAATCCTAAACACTTAGGATGTGAGGATATGAGATATGAGTTTTTATTGGATTAAATGAGTTATGCTTTACAATTAAAAAAGCAGAACTTGATTAAAACAGTGTGACGTCTAGACCTATATTACCTGCGCCTCCCCCAAATCCCCGCTTAGGACTGTCTCATTCACTCTGCTTACAAGCTTATGATTTCTGTTTCTTCCCTTGCGCATACTATGGGGCATTTGAAATCCTGCGCCCAAATGAGTCTCTTGACTTCAGTACAAGAACCCAGATTACCAGGTAAGACCCCTTGAAAGTGGACTTCCATGACTTTACCTAGAAAAAGGAAGAGACCTCAGAGTCACAACTCTGGAACATTATACCAGAAGTAAAAACTGCCTCTTTTGTTGTGTTCAACTCGGGACGAGAGTGTCTTAAGACATTAGTGCCCTAGTCCATCTTTGTGACATGCCAGTCAGGTCATCATGAAGGACGCTCAGGCTGCAAAATTTAATTTAATAACTGAGCTGCAGACAAATGCAGCAGACTCAGTGCTTATGTTTGTTTCTTTACCATAGGAAACGGTAATATGAGATTGGTATTTAAAAATTTACAGAACTGTGTTCTTTTTAAAAAAGAAAATCAAGATGTCAAGATATATATATTCATACACATACATATATACAACATATATATATATACACAAATACACACACATATACATTTATTCTCTGCTACTAACAAAATTCTAAACTTCTTAAGGGCCACCAGAATTAAGCACTGTTTTTATGAAATTTTACAGCTTAGTATCCTTTCTAGTAGGGTTTATACCATCAGAAAAATACCAATTTAGATCATCTCATAGGGCAGAATGAGGACAAAGTCTATGAAAGAAAGTGTTTCTGTAGCCAAGGAGTTCGTGTTGCTTTGGCAGTTGTGGAATTGCTTCATTGAACAATTACTTCAGAAAATACCTCTTTTGTACCTGATTCAAACCATTGTGCTGTGTGTCTTTGAGTTAGCAAGCTAGAATGTAAAGATGGCGCTTTGGGAGCGATCTTTGTGCTGGGATTGCAGCTCAGTGGTTGAGCACTTGCCAAGAAAGCAATTGTCTGCAGTAACGTACACGTTTCAGTCCTGTTCTGAGCGCTGTATAGTGCCTCTGCCTCCTCACTGAAGAAGCTCGTGGTCCAGAGCTGACGCTTCTCTTCTCCTAAAGCGACTCAAGACACATGGGGAGACTCTACCAACACTGCTGATCTATGCTAGGGAAGGAGTCCATCCCACATATTTGTAGAAAATGGTTTATGAAACTTCCAGAGCACTTAAAATCATTCATTCACCATACGCATGAAGAGGCACACAGGTGCACTGGAGTAGGAAGAACACTTGCCAGTGCGAGGGTGGCGGGGGGAGGTGATGAGAACCGTATGCACCTGTTTACGTACTTCTGCGTGGAAGCTGTTGCTTTAAAGAAATGAGAGTCGATTTTTACTGATTTCCTTTACAGATGCTGGAATTTGTGAGGTAGTTTCATGCCATTTAAATCCTTCCAATGTTTTTATTGAGATACGCTATTGGCTATGTACATACAACCTGCCAGGTAACATGGGATGTATACTTTGCCCAGCTTTCCAGTGTTGGGGAGAAAGATGTACATGAAAATGAATGGGAGGCACTTAAAGGACACAGACCAAATCTTGCCCCACTAGGGTGGTGATGGGTGGGGCAAGAGAATAAGCAAATAATTCTACTTTTCCCTTTGATGAAGATTTAATTCTTGGGGATCTCTGGTGTAGAACCCAAGCGCACAAAAGCAATAATAATATTGCAGAAGAAAGCTGGTGGGACAGACATTGGTGGGTTTGGACATTGGATGTCTTTGTCCAGCATTGTTCCATTTAGACTTGTGAAACAGTGAAGCAGCATAATGGAGCAGGTGGGACACTGTACGTCGACTTAGGACACTTGGTGCTGAATTCTGATTGCACCAGAATTGCCTTTTGTTTTACTAGACTTTTGAAAGCCATGTTTGCTTGTCTCTATGGTGCTTTCTGTCCCTTGGGTCATCTTTATCATGTGACGTGTTTCTTACCATAGTTAATTGCTGGAGAGCACTCAAAGGAAAGAATTTGACAAATCAACCTCTGAAGGAAGCCCTTTGCATCCGCTAGGAGACTGCTCCACAAATGTCTTGTGCATGTGGCACAGTGTGGAGCTTTTAAGGTCTCAGTTGTAATTAAGGGTGTAATCATAGTGTACTGATGTGCCGATGATATTCTTGGAATATTGTAGGGAAATTTAATGTTATGATTAAGCTATATGTTGGAGACACTAGGAAAATTTATTTCCAAAGGCACTCCAGCCATGCCTTTTATTTTAGAAATCCATTTTTATAAGCAAATAATCCCTACTTCTCTGTTTTAATGCATTTTGGATATAGTTTAAAAGTTACATCCAGATAGAATTTGGAGGCTCTGACAGCTGTACCATGTGTCTTTTTCAGGGTAGGTTTATATGCTGTTCCTAGCATCTGAGTTTAAATTTATTTTGGCCCTTTCATAAACACTGAGCATGGATTATTGGTTTCCTACTTAAAACATGACTTTAAAAATTACCTGCTGAACTTGCCATTGCTTAGGTGCTTAGTGCAGCTGTCAAATGATCCTACACCTAGGTCCAAGTGGCTTGGTGACTCATTCACTCCAATCACTGCCTGCTTGGTTGAGATGGGCTGGCTGGAGGGCCCAGCTCTGCCAGTTTACCTGTAAAATTGAGAATGACATTGATGGCATGTCTAGTCAGAAAAGTACCAGAATACATCCAGCTCAGTGGCTCTGAGGAACCAAACAGTTTCTGTAGCACAGTGCCTGGCAAAGAGGAAGTGCTGATGAGGTTTGCTAAGTCTCATTGCTACCTTGTGTTCAGCACAGTGGATACAGGACCCCAAACAAGTGTCCACAAGCAGCAGGGCAATCAAGGTAGTGATGATGGCAGCCCTTTGTAGCCATTGCTTCCCCAGGACCAGCTTGCACATGGAGACCACAGGAGAACCCAGCATTGTGTAAGGGTGCCCCATGGACAGAGATGTACTTCTGAGGTACAAGTAGATTCTGCAGAAGAAAATCACTTCCCGAAGGGTCACCATACCTAGCAGAGAACAAATCCTCTGAGCTGTCTCCTAAAAGTAGCTCTTGTCAAATATAGTTACAGAATGTGGCATATAATGTATCCCCTGCCTTCCATCTTTGTAGACTCAAAATATATATTGAATATTAAAGACTATATAGAAACCTTGCTATAGGGGCCAATGAAACTTAGCTGTTTTAATGTTTTCCAAACTTGCTCAACTGGCTGGCGGGTCCCCCTTACTTCCCTCCCCAACATTTGTGTCATATTTCAGCCTGCTGTGCAGCCCCCAAAGACCTGGAGGGAAGGAACTTGGGCTGGTGTCACCCTATGGGAGAGGAGTCCCCAAGTGAGGAGGACCCCGGCTCCCTAGAAGGAGGTCAGTCAGAGAACTCTTCTTTTATCTGAGTGGGGCCATTGGATTTCCATAGTGGCTACCACAGCTACAGAGGCTGGGCATCATCCTGGCCTTGAACGGGATTTCAGAGAACTGCATGGCGCACCTCATGGATACCTTCCTGAGAATTCTTCTGTGACCCTCTCATCTCACACTGTAGGAAATGGGTGCTGAATTTCCTGCATGATGGCACTTGCCACATCATATAGCAAAGGCTCCAGGGAGGAGAATGTGCTCTGGAGTCTAAGCATGTGCAGTGCTCATGGAGTGGTCCTGCTCCCCTGGCCTGCAGAGCCCCTAGGGCTTGGAATCTCTGCTCAGGTTAGCCCTGCCTGGTTAAGCCCTGGACAGAGTCAAAAAGCCCCCATGTCCTTTGTCACTAGGCCATTGCAGCCTGACCTCCTCTTACCTTTACTTTGATTTCCTCATCTGTTTTTATTTTATGTATTATGTTAAACTCTGTCTATCATTGGAAGCTCCTTTAAGGCAGTTTTAGAACATGGAAGACTATGAATACATACACAATTAAATCTGGGGCACTCAGTGAGGTGGCCCTTCTCCAACAAAATTGCAAACATGCCTGTCTGTCTTCAACAAGAAATGCAAATGCATGACATGGATTTTTGGTTATAAATGATCCCAGATGACTTCCTGCACTGCTTGGATGCATGGGGTGGCTGTCCAGTTTGCTTCCACTCATGGTCAAGTGGACACAAGCACTCAGCAATGTGTGAAGTTGCTATACCTCCAAGGTGAGCAGCAGATAGATTCAGAACACATTGTCCAGGGCTGCACATAACCTGCTATTTCCAAACTGTAAGAGAGAATAACAGAATCTGTTTTTAAGTTCTTCCCTTATTTTAGTGGATCCAAAGACCCTTGTTTGACCTGGACTTATGCATGGGGCCACCAACCCAGCCCCTCGGATGGGCTTCATGTGTGGCACTGCACTTTGTATAAACAAATGTGAGGATTCTGCTTCAAATGGGAGGGTTCTGGAAATCTTCAGGAGTATGCATGAAATCACCATAGTCTAAAAGCCAGAATCACACGTCCTTGTTCAGTGTGTGCTCTGGGACCTTTGGAGACTTTCTCAGGGGTGTTGGAGTACATGTGCTGAAGTTCAGAGGGCTGTCACTACTCTTGGCATCCCCATAGTACTAAAGTCACAAGGTGGAGGCACAAGTGGACATACAGACCAGCCACCGCAAATGAGTGGCTGTAGGCTGTGCAGGGCAACTTTTCTGCTTAATGGTTTACCTGAGGTACTTGAGTTAGAAGGTAGGGATGTGACCAGTACTATTGGTCTGAAGGGGCTAAGAATTTGGTAAGTATGGGACTTTGAATTTGAGTGAATAGCAAGCCATCCCTGGTGATATGAAAAGGGGACATGTGTGAATCGAGGACATCCCTGAGAATCACAGCGCTGTGTGCATGGATGTGGTCTCTTGATACCTGCCTTGTGCATGGATGGTTTCATCTTCAGCAGAAGGAGAACCAGCCAGATCAGACTCAGAGCTTCTCACCACTCTGTCCACCTCTCTTTTTTTCCAAGAGTTGACCCAGAAAGCTCTGCTCTTGTTGCAAAAAAGTTCAAGGTAAAAACTTTCACCATGCAATCCTTTAGCTCCATTGAGCATTCCCATCCACGTGCATCCCACCCCAGCTTCCCTCCATTTATTGTCGTGTGTGTGAACATCTTCCCCCAGACTGAATGCTCACCCTGTTAAATTTTCTTTGAGTGAGGTTGAATCACGTTGACTCACAAGTTATT